ATATTATGCATATGTATATGTATATTAAGCGAAAAAAAAAGTTATCTTTATTTGTGGGTGATGGACTACGTTTCAAGAGAGCGGTCGTCCAATCAGGAGTGAGCGCTGTAGTTGCGGTTTATCGAAGGCTGATTGGTCGGCTTCTCTTCAGCGGATTACCCAATCACCAGAGGATCTCCACATCTTTCTGGTAGAAGTCCTCCACATTCTGCTTCTAGACTTCTTCCAAATTCTACTTTCAGAGGTTATCAACATCCTATTTCTATGCCTCTTCCACATCCTACCTTCACACGTCCTCCACATCCTACTTCCCTACACCCAAACATCTATCATTGCCCAACATTCTCTTGCCTCATAATTAGCCTTCACACCGCCTCTAGAGCACAACCTCGTAGGCCTCCGAACCACACCTGTGCTCTTGCAGACTCCAACCTGTAGATCAATGCAATATTCTCTCCCATCAGTAGAGTGCTGATTGCCAAACTAGTTACAAAACATATGGTGAAGGCTCGATCCTCCGTTTGTAGACACGCCAAGGTTTTCACCTGGTTAAAAAAATGGATAATATATAGTTTTTCAACCACACTGAAAAAAGTGCCTGCTAGAATTTTCAACTCCGTATAAATTATGTATCTATCGTGTACAATAGAACGGCTTTCTGAGATATCTTTAGGTAAATACAGTATATGAATATATTAAAATGCAGTATAATATAATTGCTACAGAATTGAAGTTCTATCTGCGTCTATCCAGCTAGCCCAAGTGTCTTCTATTCATCCAACCACTGGTAGAGCAGTTGACTGTGTGTTCCACCAGTGGTAGAGCAGTTGACTGTGTGTTCCACCAGTGGAAGAGCAGTTGACAGTGTGTTCCACCAATGGTAGAGCAGTTGCCTGTGTGTTCCACCAATGGTAGAGCAGTTGCCTGTGTGTTCCACCAATGGTAGAGCAGTTGACTGTGTGTTCCACCAATGGTAGAGCAGTTGACTGTGTGTTCCAGCAATGGTAGGGCAGTTGACTGTGTGTTCCACCAATGGTAGAGCAGTTGACTAGGTGTTCCACCAATGGTAGAGCAGTTGACTGTGTGTTCCACCAATGGTAGAGCAGTTAATTGTGTGTTCCACCAATGGTAGAGCAGTTGACTGTGTGTTCCACCAATGGTAGAGCAGTTGACTGTGTGTTCCACTAATGGTACAGCAGTTGACTGTGTGTTCCACCAATGGTAGAGCAGTTGACTGTGTGTTCCACCAATGGTAGAGCAGTTGACTGTGTGTTCCACCAATGGTACAGCAGTTGACTGTGTGTTCCACCAATGGTAGAGCAGTTGACTGTGTGTTCCACCAATGGTAGAGCAGTTGACTGTGTGTTCCACCAATGGTAGAGCAGTTGACTGTGTGTTCCACCAATTGTAGAGCAGTTGACTGTGTGTTCCACCAATGGTAGAGCAGTTCACTGTGTTCCACCAATGGTAGAGCAGTTGACCGTGTGTTCCACCAATGGTAGAGCAGTTGACTGTGTGTTCCACCAATGGTAGAGCAGTTGACTGTGTGTTCGACCAATGGTACAGCAGTTGACTGTGTGTTCCACCAATGGTACAGCAGTTGACTGTGTGTTCCACCAATGGTAGAGCAGTTGACTGTGTGTTCCACAAATGGTAGAACAGTTGACTGTGTGTTCCACCAGTGGTAGAACAGTTGACTGTGTGTTCCACCAATGGTACAGCAGTTGACTGTGTGTTCCACCAATGGTACAGCAGTTGACTGTGTGTTTCACCAATGGTACAGCAGTTGACTGTGTGTTCCAGCAATGGTAGGGCAGTTGACTGTGTGTTCCACCAATGGTAGAGCAGTTCACTGTGTTCCACCAATGGTAGAGCAGTTGACTGTGTGTTCCACCAATGGTAGAGCAGTTGACTGTGTGTTCCACCAATGGTAGAGCAGTTGACTGTGTGTTCCACCAATGGTAGAGCAGTTCACTGTGTTCCACCAATGGTAGAGCAGTTGACAGTGTGTTCCACCAATGGTAGAGCAGTTGCCTGTGTGTTCCACCAATGGTAGAGCAGTTGACTGTGTGTTCCACCAATGGTAGAGCAGTTGACTGTGTGTTCCACCAATGGTAGAGCAGTTGACTGTGTGTTCCACCAATGGTAGAGCAGTTGACTGTGTGTTCCAGCAATGGTAGGGCAGTTGACTGTGTGTTCCACCAATGGTAGAGCAGTTGACTAGGTGTTCCACCAATGGTAGAGCAGTTGACTGTGTGTTCCACCAATGGTAGAGCAGTTAATTGTGTGTTCCACCAATGGTAGAGCAGTTGACTGTGTGTTCCACCAATGGTAGAGCAGTTGACTGTGTGTTCCACTAATGGTACAGCAGTTGACTGTGTGTTCCACCAATGGTAGAGCAGTTGACTGTGTGTTCCACCAATGGTAGAGCAGTTGACTGTGTGTTCCACCAATGGTACAGCAGTTGACTGTGTGTTCCACCAATGGTAGAGCAGTTGAC